AAATGTTGAGTGGAGAATAATAAACTAAACATGAGATTTACTTGCTTTAGAAATTTTGATCAGGTGGAGAAGAAACTAACAAAACTTTTGTTGCTCTCAAGCTATCCTCTACATAGGATTCTCCTGTAATGCTGCAATTCCTATAGAAGGATTGTATAGTCGGAGAAATATGAAAATAGATTAAAATTGAAGTGGTTTTTAGAGTTTTGTTTTCTTTCTTTGTCATACCATAATCTATATAATTTCTGATTTTGTTTTTGTTTGGTTAATCCACTCGTATCCCATGAATAAAATAGAAACTCAATCCCGAAATTTGCAACAAATCATAGCTCATTAAACAAAATATTTAGTAGCAAAAATATAAAATTTAGTAACCAAAACAAGGAAAATACAATATATATACATGGCGGCACAGAGACTAATCCGTTCAATACCAAGAACCCAAAAAAAAAGAAAACAAAGTCCAAATGACTACCGAGTAACAAAGCCCAAACAAAAGAAACCAAACACCCAAAACTACGGCTATGAAAAGATAAGGTGGCGAAGGAACCGAAGCTAAGTCTAACTCGAAAGATAAGAATAAATAAGCTTAGAAGGAGAGAACCACCCACATGAAAAAAAAAACCTACCAACATGAAAGAGAACGACTCGTTCATCTGAAACTTCTTCAAATGATATTCAACCCAATACCATAAAAGCAAACAGGTGCAACTCTTAACTCTTTTTCGACGACGATTGTATAAACCCTAATTTCCTTTTCCATTTCCCTCTACCATTCAAACATCTGAAATAGAAGATCATGGGTATTTTTGTGGGTTCTCAAATTGTACTTTTCTTCACAAGTAAGTTCTCATTTTCTTTTATCAACAAAAACAAAACAAAAATCTCATTTTCTTTTATAAACAAACAACAAAAAACTTGGTTTTCAGGTTGTAACTCAATGGTTTCGAAAAAAGAGAGACGTTGGTGGTTCTAAGGATTTCCTAAGTGGTCTACCAGTCGGTCTTATTGGACGCATCTTGTCCTTCCTTACCACTAAAGAAGCTGCTTCTACATCGGTTCTCTCGACAAAATGGCGGTATCTCTTTGCTTTTGTCCCTAATCTTCATCTCGATAACTCTGTTTATCTGATTCCAAGAGAAGAGAATAATAAGAACAAAGTTTCTACAAGTTTTGTGGATTTTGTGGATAGAGTATTGGCTTTGCAAGGCAATTCTTCTATACACAAGTTTTCTCTACAGATCGAAGATGTCGTCGATGATCCAGTTGACCCAAACCCTATCTTTCAATGGATTCTCATTGTATCAGAACTTAGTCTAGACTTGAATTTGGAATCAGAAATTATGATTCCTTCAGAGCTCTTCTTTAGCAAGACACTGGTTAGGCTGGAACTATTCTTTGGATATGACACCACCAACTTTTTTGAAAATGTTGATCTTCCAAAGCTTAAGACTCTTTATCTCGAGTCAATCCACTTTGTAAAGCATGGTATTGGGCTTACCAAGTTTCTTTCCGGTTGTCGCGTGCTTGAGGAATTAGTTTTGAATGGTGTATCTTGGTCTGCATGGGAGTTTGCCTCTCTCTCTGTCACAACTCTCAAGAGATCTTCTGGGGAGAGCGTGATGAGAATCCAAAGAATGTGTCTTTTGATACTCCGAATCTTGTTTACTTGGAATTTACTGATACTATTGCACACAAGTATCCGAAAGTGAATTTCGAGTTGCTTGTAGAAGCCAAAATCGATCTTCGAAAGGCACAATTTAAAAATTTGGTCGATAATGCAACAAATTTTATAGCGGGAATATGCAATGTGAAGATCCTTTATCTATCTGCCAACACTCTTAAGGTTTGTATTTCATTACTCTCATCTTTCTCTTAATCGTTTTAATTTATGCTACTTAGAAAATAAAAAGAAGTTATATTTTCTTAACATTTCTTAAGGATTTGAGTTAATGCTTGCAAATGACTGATGATAATCTAGTTGATATGGTTTTTTTCAGGTACTCACTAAATGTTTTGCATCAATACCGCTATTCAACAACTTGACCCATCTAACTATCGAGAGTGACCCGGAAATAGGATGGCAGTCATTACCGGGTCTGCTCAAGAATTCTCCAAATTTGGAAACTCTCGTCTTGCAAGTATGAAACAAACCCTTTAAAAGCATATGTTGACTCGTTTTTCAAAGTTTGAGATGTTTTACTATGTTTCAGGGCCTCGTCCACAAAGCCACGGATGGATGTGGAGACGTGTGCTTGTGCAAACGTAATGATGATGAGGAGATTCCTACTTGCTTATCAACAAGCCCGGTGAAGGTGTTGAAGATAATGGAATTTGGTGACTTCGATGGTGACGGTATAATTGAGCAGATTGATCAAGTCAAGCACTTTCTAGAGACGATGCCGAATCTTGAGCAAGTGATCTTATACTATGATAGTCAACCTTGCGACGAAGACGTGATTGATGTGTCATACGAACTTGTTAGTCTTCGTAAACTAGCTTCATCAAAGTGCAATCTCCAGATAATCTCTGAGCACCTCTGCACGTCACGTATTGTGCCGTGAAATAGTCTCTCAAGTCTTTCTTACCATCATCAAAGTCAAGATTCTTTTGAGTCTGTCTCATTGTCGAAAAACATGTATTTTTAGGCTTTCTTCTTTTGGCAAAGACAACAATAACTTGATATTTTCTTTGCTTCAGTTCTTATGTTGTGTTAACTATTCTTGGGGAAGCAAATGTAAACATGAAACCTAAATTGCCATTGAAGTTACTTGGGAGAGAAAAAATGATTGGATTTGGATTGTAATTTGTACATAGCCCATAGTTTGCAACAAATCATTATGCTATGAATGGTGTGAATGATTGTGAATGCTGGAAGTGTAAATTCTGTTGATTGCAAGCTGTGATGCTGCAATTCCTATGAATGGTGTGAATGATTGGCTTCTCTGCTTCCCTCACACTCGAGAAAGTCAATTATGAACCATATTGGTGAGAAACCGAACAATGTTGGGTTTAGTATTCTTGGGCCAAAACTAAACAGACATGTCGGAACGGTGGGCCATTGAGACCATTTTGATTAATAAAAGATGTGAAATAAAGTCAAATAAATGCAACTATGTTCACATAGAGCAAAAAGTGGCAACATAGTTATTGTAATTGAAACTCTTATTGCTAATCTTAGTTATTCAGATGCCAAAAAAATATATAGAAACTATGGTCACATCTTCTCTTTCTTAA